ATCAAAAACCAGGCGCGCACCTGACGAATTTTAGAGGAAGCAATTAGATGTTTCAATTCGAAATGCTTTGAATGACTTGCACAATGTTGGCTATTATAATGTACACTTAATTAGCAAAATCACCCATTCAAGAGCGAAGTGAACCCTTTTGATCTCCAGTGTGTGTAATCACTTTTCAGATGTCAATCACTGTAAGGAATGTAGAAAGTCTCGCCATACTCAACCAACTTGATGGGGTCAAATCCAAAAGCTGGCCAAAATGCTTCACCAGAACGGCTCCACTGAGTCAACCGGGAATTATCTGAACCAACCCGTTGAAAGTTGAAGGCATAAATCAAAGAGTACACCTCCTTTCCCCAGCTAGAGTACTTTGTCAGAAGCGTTGCTTATAAATGTGCCCCATGCTTCGCATTGCTGAAGGCGCACTGTATATATCACCGACAAAATGTTACACTCTAACGTGGCATGTAACTGCAGGACCCGCAAAATGAACGTGCCAAATTGCTTGAATTGCTGCGACAATGATGAAGTGTACAGAGGCTGTTTCCAACTGCTCCTGCAGATCTTGAAGAAGCCGTTTCGAGCGCAGATTGCTTTAAGTTAAGGAAGCAGGTAGACTTTAAGGAAATGTCCCCACTTTGATGGGCGAGGTGCCTAAACATGATGAGAAGGCGTTTGTTCCTCCTTACAGGACTTTACCTATAATTCAACGGAAATTTTGTGGGAAACGCCACATCATCAACATTATTATACAAGATTCGATGCTTTTGTGAGTATAGTGTGGTGATATTCCCATGTTGAGTTCATAGTAGTCAACTTAAGATGTTACTCGCTGGTGACGATAGTGACCATGATGCCCTAGTGCCGAAACCGCGCCGCGACCGCCGCTCACAAAGGCCGGATGCTGAAGTGCGATTTCGCCGTTTACCGTCGCCCGACATCGAATCGTTGCAGATCTGAAGAAACGCGAGTTAGGTGGGTTCCACAGGTGGACCGGCTGACCGCCAGTCTTTCAGCCAATACGTAATTAGATTCTTTTCGGCTGTAAGGTCTAGTTGTTCGTCTTCAGGCTTTAGAAGCAGATTCTGATCTCACAATCAGAATGTCTGTCGGCCGGGAAGCTTCCCTACTCATTCCTTCTTCTGCTTGTTTCCTTCTTTTCCTTCCTTGCTCGAGAGACTAATTGCGGAAAGGTTGTTTTTCGCTTGCGTAGAGGCGTCAGAGAGACGTTTTCTGACGTCAAGCGACCACATGCGCCTCCATCCTATTCATAGATATCTTCGCAATTCTGTGGTTTGAAAAAACTTGAAGTGGCGCAAAAAAGGAGTTCACCTGAACTATAAATGTCTCAAATTCAGTGAGCTCAAAACTGTTTTCAACTCATTTGCTTAGCACTGGGAACTTCCTTGAGATCTGATAGCAGCAAAGAGCTTGGCAAGTTTCCTGCGTGTCTGCCTTCCTCCCCATTTATTGATCGCTTTTGCCATTAACGAGCGCTTCGTTAGATAGGACTAGATTTTGGTATGTAGTTTCCTCGCAGGCAAGCCTTAGAAAAACATGTAAGACTGTACAAACCTCTTGATGCTTTTAATCCTTTAGTTTTTTTTACATTCCACTTGTTGTCATTCTTTTCAGCAAATAACACTCGCACTGTGTCGGTCTCTCCTAGAATCGAGTGAGACGATGAATCTTACAGCGTGTCCATTTCGTAACGAAGTGAGCACAGCAGCAGCTTCAGTGAGTTTATATTAGGTTGTCCGGAAAGTTCTCAGCGTTTTGGGTGTTTCACTTTAAACGATCGTAACTTTTTTAATACTCATCGGATTTAATCGAAATAGGCACCATTCGAATCAGCACACTTTTGCCAATGTGACAGCAGTCGAGAAATCCCATCAAAGTAAAAAACTGGGTGGTCGAGAATTCACGAAATCCACGAAGGCTTTTTTGCCTGGTTGATGAAGTATTTTCCAGCAAGGGAGTTCTGAAAATGTTTGAAAAGGTGATAGTCGGTTGGCGAAAGGTCTGAAGAATATGGCGGTTGAGGTAGAACTTCAACCCCCAATTCGTTCAATTTATGGATAGTGATTTGTGAAACGTGTGGGCGGGCGTTGTCATGCAAAGAATCGGACCCTTTCTTTTGATAAGTGTTGGCTGCATCTGACAAAATTTTCGGTACAATTCGTCGATTTCTTCACAGTAGGGTTCTGCTGTGATGGTTTGGCCTGGTGATAAAAAGTTATAGTGGATCACACCAGCCGATGACCACCAAGCCGTGACCAGAATCTTTTTTTCGTGAGGGTTCGGCTTTGAAAATTACCTCGGTGGTTCGTCGAAATCCAACCACTGTCCGGAACGTCTCCTGTTATCATACATGACCCATTTTTCATCACAGGTGACAATTCGGCCCAAAAACAGGTCGTTTCTGCTGCGCAAAAGCAATGCAGAAGGAAC